AGAAAAATAATGATAAGGCATAGTCTTACAGTAGAGATATACAGATGTTGCTCTTGTATATAATTTTTATCAACCTGACACAGGTTATAATAGTGCACTTCTGTTTCTTATATGTGTGCCTATCTTTTTTTTGCTTTTTTTATCTTTTCCCTTTATATATAAATAAAGTTTAGGGTTTTTGTTCGATTCTTGTTTGTATATGCCTTAAATTTTCGGTCTTTCGTAAATTTTGACATTATTTTCTTCCCTTATACAAACATAAGAGATTTAATTATTCTGCCAGGATCTAGGTGGAAAAAGTTGGGTGATCTTGACAAGGTAGACAACAACCTGTCCGTGATCAAGGGGGTACTCTCGTCAGTACGAAATTCGACACAAGTGTTGAATCCTGAGTGAGACTAATTGTTGTTATAGCAGGTCATATTGGGCATTTTGCTTGGTGAATTTTATTAGATTAGAACATCACACTTTAAGAATGTAAAGTACTTTGTACTTTTATTAATGAGTAGTTCCGATGAATAAAGACAAAATTGCTTAAAAAAAAAAAAAATTAAATACTGTAAATATAAATCTGCAAAAATCTGTATTTTTGCAGATTTTTGCTAAATTTTTTACAATTTAAAATTTTATACAAAATTGTATTTAATTTTTATAGCTATAACTGCTAAATCTAAAGTTATTTGCAGATTTTTATTTAAATATATTATTTTAAAAAAAAATTTTAAATGAATTATATTGACAATTATTATAAAACGCACCTATGGTGTTTTAGCACCATATATAATTATTTTTAATAAAATTTAGGGGTATTAAGAATTATTATATAATATAATATAAGGTTCCGAGGTTTTTGGGGGTTCTGAACATTTTTACTTAGGGTACCCGATCCCGTTTACTTAGTTGAGAAATAGGGACCTATGGTGTAAAACACCATAGGTGCGTTTTAGTAAAATTCTTTTTTTATATATTACTTTTTACTTAAAACATATTTGGTTTAACTATTATATTATATTTGATTTAAATTTGATAAAATATCTGATTTACTATATAAAATAAAGCTTAAAAAATTTGGATATACAGTACAAATAGAAGAGAGTTAATAGAAAATAATAGTATAATTATTTCACCTTTTGCGCACTAGCAAAAAAACTCCTTGCAAAAATTTTGATATATTTTAAGTCCTACTTCTGACGGTCATTAAAAAACCGACAGCTCTTTATGGGCTGAGAAAAAAAATCTTCACTATAACTTATATTCGAACGAATATACTTCTATCGAGCTGAATTTTAATAAATCTGTTTCTTCAAATCGAGAATTCACTAAAGCGCATTCGCTAAACATCGTGGGCAACAGTCATGTGATGGTAGTCTGTTTGATCAAACTGGCCAATCAGATTCTTTATGGAATATGCCTACAAATTTGATCAAGTTAATTACCACAAATTACATCATGTCCATCTCTACACGTCCCAATTTAGAATTATCAAAAAGCATATCCGTCTAACGATTATCAATTAACCAATTCTGATTCCTTATCACCGTCGCTGCAAATTATAATTCCCGCATTGAATGTAATTAGCAATGACCACCGACATTTCAACCTACCGTTTTGTAAGAATAAGACTACACTTCGTTTTTGCATAATATCATGATACGTTTCAAAATACTTGTTAACAGAATTCCTCTAACCAAGGCATTGTATAAAAATTTACACCTTTAGAACCATACCATGATCCGAGTTAAGGATCCAAAAGCTTCGCTTAAATTCTATCAGGAAGTTTTGGGAATGAAGTAATATCATAATCAATTCAAATAGACTGTCTGATATATGATTCTTTTTTTTTATAACCCTTTTTTTTTTTGCTACGAAAATCAAGACTCATCAATAAAATCGACTTTAGCGAATCCAAGTTTACACTTTACTTTCTTGCATACTGTCACGAACAGTTGCCCGAATCTCATGGAGAAAAAAACAAGTATATTTTTTCCAGAGAAGCTGTTTTAGAATTAACACAGTATGAATAATATTTTACGTTTATTATTGAGAATGTGAATTTTTTAAAAGTTAATTAATAAAACTCTTCAAAATAGCAATTGGGATACAGAAAATGATTCTGATTTTCAATATCATAATGGTAATAAAGATCCTCGTGGATTTGGCCATATTGCGATTAGTGTTGACAACATTGAAGCTGCTTGTGCTAGGTTTGAAAAATGTGGTGTCAAGTTCATCAAAAAGTTGCAAGATGGTAAATATGATAAGATTATGTGATTTCAAGATTATTTATATGAATATTATGAATATTAACTTTATTCTCTGAATTTAAATAGGTAAGATGAATAATATCGCTTTTATTAGTGATCCAGATGGATATTGGGTCGAAATTGTTGCATGTGGTATAGATGTGACTTGTTCTTCTAAACATTAAAGAATTATAATCCAATGTTTCAAAATTTCATTTTTATCAAAAGTATAATACAAAAATTTTTGTTTTTGTTGTCAATTTTGTTTTGTAAAAAAAATTTAACAGAATATACTGTATCAATGTTTTTGAAATAATATATATATAAAATGCTTTTTGTTATGTACAATGTGTATGATTTTTTTTATGTTATACAAAATTCAATTTGAATAATTTGATTATCTCATAAAGTGAAATTTATACTAATACAGTATATACAGTATACAGTATTAAAAGCCTATTATGCATATAAATCTAATTAAAATTAAGTCTTTAAAATCAGGGTCTAAAACCAAGTTTCAAGGTTCCGAACATCATTCGATTAAATTCATCAATTGGTTTTATAATAGTTGTCACGGCTGATGCTGAAGTTGGCTGATGCTGAAGTTTCGACTTATTTTATTATGAAGTTTTAAAATTTTTGAGGGCCTTTTGTTAGGGTTTTTTTTTTAGGGTTAGTGTTATTAGCAAAAAAGTATATGTGAATTTTAGTAGGTATTGTAGATTTAAATGGGGGCCCTAAAATTCAGCATCAGCTGTGACAATAGTTATTAAAATATGCAAGCCAGGCTCTCCATTGTAAAGCAGAATTTTTCGCCGCAGCAGAAAATGTGTGATTCTAGCAACAAAATTGGACCGGCAGATCCACAGGGATCTTCAAAATTTTGGCCCACATTACAAATTTGTTTACTAATTTGTAATAAATTACCTGACAATGTAACTTACATTGTAAGTTACAAAATATATCATAGTAAAGCAGGCCGGCTTTGTATTAATGCCGACCAGAATAAATTTAGCCAGCATTAAGGTTATTAAAGGATGAAATTATTATGTATTATTATTATATATAACTTACCTTAAAATGTAACATTTTAAAAATAACTTACAGTAAGTTATACAAATTGACCCAGGAACATTAGTAAAATTAGGCCTAATTTTTTGATCGTCGCTCTTAGCCAATCAAAATCGAGAATCTAACCACTGTCTAACCTAATGTAAAAGTCGTCTGATATTCTACTCTGACCAATAAGAATTGAATTAGAATTTGCAAAATATCTGACAAATTTCTTAACTGATTTAATTTAATTAAATATACATCTTTACATTTCAATATTTTCTGGCTTTAGTAATGTCTCGACCGACTCCCGTTTTCTTATATGATAGGTCCTTGAAGCTTACAAATTCATTTAAAGATAAACAAAATGCTAGCAAATTTCTTAGAGGAAAGAAATTAGGAAGACTTATTGATACTGGCAGATTATTGCGTAGAAAGTGGTATCTATATTCAAAACAATTGGATCCAAGCAAAATTGCTTGTTATAAATTTATAGAAAAAAATGTTGCAAGTAAGTAAATTTATTTAATGAATTAACAAGTTTTAACCATTGTTATTCATTGAATTATTGCTTTATTATCAATATTTATATACTTAGAGGAAATGGCAAAAATAATTTTATCAGAACAAAAAAAAACTATTCACGTTTACGACGATCAATATCAATTTCTATATTCTGCTAAAAATATTCATGAAGTAGCAACGAGTTTAAATATATGTCCTACCCTCATTAAACTTCATTTAAAGAAGACTAGACCATTGATGGTTAAAAGTTTGAACAAAAATTATTACATTGTTACTGATCTTGTAAAAATTAATGGAATGGATACAGAAGAAAAGGTGAATTATCTTAAAAGTGCGATTATTATGTCTTCCACAGATGTTGAGAACAAAGAAATTTCTAATGGCTCTGAAAGTTCTCCTTTACCGTTACCGGAGCCAGTATGTAATATTATTCAATGGTAATATTTATATTTTAATCGATATTAATTAAAAAAATTTTTTATTATTAATAATTATAGGAATTCTTTGATTCTATTCGTCGTTTCACCAGCGATCATTATACAAATGCTTATAAATTCCCTGAAATATTTGGCCAAATGGATGAATCCGCTTTATTGACAATGGGTGAGTTGATAATTATGAATATTACAGTTTGTATATAGGCATTTATCGAATATTCATTTTCTTTCAGGAGTTCTGCTACAAGAATATATTAGGAATCAATTATATTGAAAGAGTCGAGAATAGAAAGATAATGAATTTTTGAAATGCATTCAGCATAATAAACATTAATTTAATTAATAGAGAAGTAACAGTATAGTAACAGTATAGTGCACAGCAAATTAAAAAAAAACCTTTAGATGATTAAAATATGTTAGGTCAAGCAGATTTAATCATTTGGTTCTCATAACCCGAGTATATTGTTAAAGACGAACAAGGGAACAGGTCTCAAAGGGCACAAACCCTTGATAAATATAGAGAGGTAACTATTTTTTTTTGTTTTGAAGTAAATGCAGGTGGAAATAATGGCGTGGCGGGGACTTTCTAGGTCGTCGTTCATTCAAGGTGGTTAGCCGAGCAATAAGTCAGTGTTGAGGCACGGTCGACTTGCTAGGTCGTCTGATGTTCAAGGTTGCTAGCCGATCTGACGGGACAAGAGATTTGCTAAACTTAAATATTCGAATATAAAGTATTAATTGGTTATTTCTTTTTAGACATATGCCCAATTGTCTAATTAATTTATTGGCTAGATTCAAAGGTTATGATCTCTACAAATCCGTGTTTTTGATTTGGACATCCCTTTTCACATGCAACATATTTATCAGTTGTATACTGTATATTATCGAATATATACTTCTTACAATTTATAAACATCTAAAGATTTAGAAAATGCGCTAGATATTTTAATAATTTTTTTTATTAGGTTGTCTGTTCTTTGTGTTTAAGATACCCTTTTATGTCACTTTAATTCATCAATCCATTCGAATATTGCTTAAGTCAATGATGGCATGCGAACATGTCAAACTGAAGCCTATAAAAAGATTAGTTTGATAAAGGTTCTAAAGTCACTAACAAGCGAGGTTGTGGTTATATGATTTTTTTTAATGCTTAGATAAAATATAAAATAATTGCATAATAAAATATAATTTAAATTGATGGCGATGTCAGAACCATCAATTCTGAAATTGGTTTGATTAAATAATCAAACGAGATCGGAGATCCTTTTGTTTTTACTGTAATGACTGCTAAACAATTTTGTATTATCACGCCCGGCGAAGCGAAGGATACATAAACGGTGTCACGTGATCATACCTGTCTGTTCGCTTCTATGATGTTGATTGGTTAAATATACGATGATGTAGTTTACGCGTAGATCCACGTATAAATATTGTCTTTTATAAACATAATCGTTAATGTTTTTTATCTCTTTACACCTGAAACCATAAATTAAAAATGAATCAAAACATAATTTTTAGGGTTCCGATTGATGCTTGCCTGCAGAATAAGGTAATGTATAGCTGGCGGAATCTTGATCTAGGACTTGGATTGTTAACCTAGGTTAGAAAGGTATCGGGCACATTTTCGAGTATGATATTTGCAAATTTGTTTTTTCTGAAGAAAGAGTTAGATGTTGGTAAAAGTTTTGCAAAAGATCGGAAATTATTTATAAGAAAGTGGGTTTAATCTATTAAATGACTACCTATCAATTAGAACTAAATCCATTATTCAATCAAAACTCTACATGAATAACGATCCAGAGGACTTTTGGTCCTGCACGACTGTGTTCTTGACGTCGCGGTTCTTTAAATGGCTTGTGTTGCAGGGGGGTTCTTGGTCTCTTACACTTAAATGAGATACGAGTGTGGGTACATCCTTCTTAAGTTTCGTACTGACGGAGTATAGTTCCGTTTCCTTATTACAATGTTTCAAGGTTTCCAAGGCTTTAAGGTTTTGGCGCTATCTGGCGTTATGTAAAAACTTTTTTAAAGCCCTAAGGCCACATTAAGTTAATTAATTGTTTCTCATAACATCTAAATTTTAAAGTGACCGGCCCGGTCGGCTTTTAATTTTTTTTTATCTAGAAAACATATGGACAGGGACACGGACAGTCCGGGACGGGACGTCCCGAACAATTAAAAATTAGAATAAGAGTAGCCTTGTTAGCCAATGAGGTCGTTTGATAAAATATATGACATAGGACACCATCATGGATATGGGACATCGTCCGGGACTGTCTATGCCCATGTCCATAATAAATAACATAAAATTTTGGATTGAAATTTTATAAAAGCTGATCCGGCAGGGTTATGAGAAACAATCAATTAATTTTATGTTGAATTCTTGGGTCTTAAGACTTTGAAACCACAGGTTCGATTCCAACAAGGGCAATCTTTTTTTTTATAACTATGTCCAACAATTAGATATTGTCAAATATCCAAATTGTCAAAATGTCTAATATTATCATGTGACATATCTGTAGGGGAGTGTGATAGCTTTATTTTTTTTTCTCAAGAGCATAATACAATTTTATTTGTTTAAATACATTTGTAATTTTTACAATGCAAGTAAAATATTACTACCCAAATACTACTAATAGATGCAAGATTTAAAGTATAAATAACTTAAAAATCATAAGGATCCTTTTTTCCTTCATCAACTCCAGATTTAGCTACTTTCCTTACTGTTAATCCACCTTCAGGTGGTAAATGAAAGGTCTCAATAGAAAATTTTTTCCTCCTCAATTTAAATCCTAAATTATTACCACCACCACCAGAAAGTATTGATAATTTCACTGAAGGTGATATAAGGGAATTGATTGTTGGCAATTTATGCACATGGAATAAACCATGATATGATGCACTATATACGTTATTTACTGTTGCAGATGAACCTATTGTTTTATATTTTACATGATATTAGTAATATTAATAACATTAAAATGAAAGAATAAAAAGTAAACAAAATACCTGCAAATGACTCTAACTCGACGACCGCATCAGATATATGTTCAATTCGTCTTATAAATGAGCAAGGCTCCAAATTGGATGTATATAAATGAGCTGGAATTGTTATCACAGATAAACCAGACGAATTTCTTAATAAGCCACGTAAAGCATGAAAAAATCGATAAAGATCCTAAAATAACAATATTAATTAAAATTATCATTTTTATATATCCATATGCTCCGATTTTTGGAATTTATAAAAAAAGCATATTTTTTTAAAACTTTAAAGCTAAATAGTTCTTGATCTACTGGTTCATTTTAAATGATTTTACTACCAAAATGTTCGTCTCTTTGAGACGATTCGAACAAGCCCAAAATCATAAAAACCCAATCACAGGGTCATGAGAAAATGTGGTATCAAATAGGTAACACACCTGAAATTGGTTTGATGTATGTTAAACCAATTTCAGGTGCATCACCTATTTGATGGCACATTTTCTCATAACCCTGTGGTTGGATTTTTATGATTTTGGGCTCGTTGGAATCGTCTCAAAGAGACGAACATTTTGGTAGTAAAATCATTTTAAAATGGACTAGTAGATCAAAAATTATTTAGCTTTAAAGTTTTAAAAGAATATGCTTTTTTTATAAATTCCAAAAATCGGAGCATATGCGTAATGACTCGAAATGATAATAAATACATGAGGAGAATTAGAATTCCATAATGGTGATGCAATTGAATGTATTCCAATTCTTAACGCGTTTTTCTCAACACCAGTCGATGGAGTTGCCGATGAACTAAATAATAAATGATTGTTATCTATTCAATTTAATTACATAATTACATAAATTTACATATAAACAAACCTAAAATGATTTTGATCAATAACTCGACGGATTTCTGACAAAAGCTTATCATACATGCTTTCATCATGTTGTTCATCGGCCCATTTAGTTGCATCTACTAAAGTTATTGACGCAGAATCTATCGATTGTTGTGGAATTGATTTTGTTAAATCGAAAGTATAACAAAATGGCTGTTCCTGACGTTGAGACCCAGTGATAGGAATTTGTTTATTTTTGAAAATGGTTGGTGTAGCTAAAAATAATATCGATTAAAATATTATTTATAAGAGTAAATATATGAGCATATCATTTTTACTTTTAATTCCAGATTCAAACTTTTTCATTTCTTTATATCGCCAAGCAATTTTCATTTTATCGTCAGCCTCCGCTTTATCATCCAAATCATTCGAGTCATCATTCGTAATCCAAGGCAATCCTTTTATAAAATTTGATGGATCTTCTTCAGTGCTGGAAAACAGCACATGGTGTCCTGAAGCAATTCCTTGAGACAGAAAGTATTTAAGCAATAATTTAGAATATCCAGTATGTTTGTCTTCTTTTATTAATAATATCGTGCCAATTGGTAAACCACCACCTAATATATGTGTTTAAAGGTGAATCATTCGTTCGTTCGTTCAATAGTTAGAATAATATAATCGCGAAATGCGAGGAAATTACGAATATATAATAGGTAAAACATTGAAATGTTAGGATATCATCTAGTGAGGGTACTCCTGTTGATAATAATAATTGTCCATTATATGGAGATAGTCGTGCTGCTGGTAAAGTTTTCGACGTTCGTATGTTTTTTTTGAAAGAACTAAAAGAACTAGAATTATTCATGATTATATTAAAGTTTAACCAATCGATCTACAGTATTTGACCGATAAGATTATCCAATTGTGCGAGCAATATCGCATATATTATATATATATATATATATATATATATATATATAAATGCACTAAAAAAAAATTTTGAATATATATATATATAAATGCACTAAAAAAAATTTTTGAATAGAATATAGCAAAAAAATTTTTCGACAGGTAAGTAAAAAAAAAAAAAAAAATTATAATCCCATCAAAGTACCATATCACAATGATTATTTATTTGTTGGCACCAGTCCGAAATTTATGATGAAAAATTTTTTTTTTATACGCATCATTATGAGTGATAAAATATTTGCTATATGAATTTTACGAATTTCACAATGAGTAGGCTAATGCTTTATTCTATCATTAAATTAAAACATTAGTTAATTTCAATATCTTATTAAAATGGTTGACTCAGACTATACATCTTCAATTTCGGAATCAAAAATCTTGGTCCTACTTGTTTTCGTTCTCGTTATCTTCCGGGTGGTCAATGCATTTTTGCAAAAACAAGCTACTAATGTCGCCTCGGCATTAATAAAAAATGTTACTATTGTTGTATTGGGAGACATTGGGAGATCTCCAAGAATGCAATATCATGCTTTAAGCTTTGCTCAAAATGGCTGGAAAGTAGATTTGGTAGGATATGATGGTAAGAGTAATTCGGATATTTTTTTATTGTTTCTGTAAACATTTATAAACTTTAAACTAATAATTTTATTTTTTTGCAGGTTCTAAACCTCTTACTTCCATAACGAATAATCAAAATATCAATGTTCATTACATATCTCATCCATGGCACTTACCGGATAATATACCAAAATTATTATTTTTTGTGTACGCTCCGATCAAAGTGTATATACAAATTTTGTTCCTATATTGGACTTTATTTGTAAGAATAAATCGACCAACTTACATACTTGTACAGGTAATAATTCAAAATTTTAAACATCTATTTCTCAATCGATTGGCAGCTTAAAATCTTTATTTTTAGAATCCACCTTCAATTCCAACGTTAATGATTGTCCAGTTCGTTTGTTGGGCACGGCAAACAGATTTGATAATTGATTGGCATAATTTTGGATATACCATTCTTGGAATTCGATTAGGCCACAATAGCCGTATAGTTAAAATTGCGAAATGGTTGAATTATTATTATTATTATTTATTATGTAATTTTCATTGTGCTTATATGTCAATGCCTTTAATTTAGGTATGAAAAATTATACGGTAGGCGCGCACATGCACATTTGACCGTCACTGCTGCCATGCACCGTGAATTAATGTATAAATGGGAGGTTCAGTAAGCGTTTTCTACTTAAGTATAGTTATTTATTATATAATGATTTTTTTCTTAAAAAAAATTTTTTTACACAGAGGTGCCATATCTACCTTGTATGATCGACCACAATCACATTTCAAAAAATTAGATTTAGAAGAAATTCATGAGGTTATAAATAGAACATAATTGAGAAATTCTAATTATGTTTAACTTGTTATTTACTTCTTTTCTTACTACTCTATTTATAGTTTCTTACAAGATTTGATTTAGAAGAAATTATTTCTAAGCAATCGATTGGGGCAAACTTTCTGCCTCCATCATCCACGACATCGACCTTATTGACTACTAAACCTTCACCAGATACTCCCGCAAAGTATCGCAGCGATCGTCCTATATTAATAGTTAGTAGTACAAGCTGGACTGCCGATGAAGACTTTTCAATACTATTAAAAGCGGCAGAACAATATGACCAAGCCGCAGATAAAACCTCTCAAAATAAGTTTCCCAAGTTAGTTTTTATCATCACAGGTAAAGGTCCCTTAAAAGACATGTACGAACGGGAAATCAGTAAGATTTCATTGAAAAATGTGAGAATAGTGACAGCGTGGCTATCTGCAGAAGACTATCCGTTAATATTAGGTATATAATTCTATTCAATCAAGCAGACGCTTATCATCATTTGTTGATTAACGGTTCAAATATTATAATAGGATGTGCTGATTTAGGAATTTCTCTTCATAAATCCTCCTCCGGAATGGATCTACCAATGAAAGTAGTTGATATGTTTGGATGTGGGCTACCTGTTTGTGCGATTAAATTTGATTGGTGAGTTCTTCGATAATTAGTATTATTTTGTCCAAAACTTAAGTTTGTGAATGTTTGATTAACTCATTCGACTGGTTTTAGTATTGGTGAATTGGTGCAACATAATAAAAATGGCCTTATATTCAATAATGAGGAAGAGTTGGCAAGACAACTAATTGTAAGTGCCACTAGTTATCAAATTATTATAATTTTAAACTTTACATACCAATTTAATTTATATAAATATTTAGGAGCTATTTACAGATTATCCTGCAAACGCGTCAAAAATTGAATCAATGCGTAAGCATGTGGACGAGTTTCAAAAAGAAAGATGGGATACAAACTGGAATCGCGTTGTTTTACCTTTATTAACTATATAATGCAAATGTAGTTTTGCACGTATACCTTTAACAAATTTGAAAATGTTTATTCCTAATAAAGAAACAATAACTACATATTATAGTTTCTTTGAAACATAATAAAACTCAAAAATTTAATATCTTTTAGGAAATTAAATTCTACGTAATACTATTAAATTGAAATCTTACAGGTTACTATTGAAAGATAGTACCTCATAAGTTCACAATTGCAAATTTTGTGAAAATGTACCCATTAAGATAATATTGTCTCTGCACTAATTGAATTTTCCCTAAAGAAAACTTTCGAGATGATTCATTAGCTTGCATTCTTGAAAATCTTTCAACTTCTTTATTATGATCATCTACCATTGCCTGTACAACGAGATATTCGTAATAAGGATCAAAATAACGAATAGGAAGAAATACCGTATTTGCGATTGCTTTTTGAACTTTTCCACGCAATATTAAATCATCAAAAAATGATTGAAAGCATTTTACGTGATGTGCTCGATCATCCCATAAACGAATTGATTTAGCAGAAGGATGATGCTGAAGCAAATCCCTTATAAATATGAGTTTAAATTCCTTCGTAGTAACCCTATTTATAATGTTCTTTTTGCGGGAAGAACGACTACTATTATTTGGTTCTTCTAGGTCTTCTGTCATATCAGCTTTAAACAATATTGTTTCGTTACGGATGAGTTCTTCGTATTTCCTATCACCCACTTTTTGAATAATTGATGACTTATAACACAAATTCCATTCAATAGTATTTTGATCTGGTTTTAATCCCATCACATCGAATTTTAAACCTTTTCGTTCTACCATATCCATGATGATATGATTAAATTCTGAATAGCCGCGTCCGGTAAGTAATACTGTTAATGAATTTGGATGTTTTACTGAATCACGAACGAGATCCACCATCTCATCATTCCACCACCCTTTCCACCTTCGTCGTCTTACTGATTCATCAAAAATTAATGATTTTCTATGTTGATACCAACCTTTGAAAATCATAGAATCACTTTTAAGGTATCCAAATAATGGGTCCTCCCACAGTTCGTGATTTGGTTGTGGTGACGCGAAAAGCGTACCATCAAAATCGAAAATATTAATTCTAGTTATAGGGTCCACGTCTGTACTAGATTTTATGGTGTCGTTCATAACTTTTTTAACAGCTTTAGACCAGAGTTTGGCTGTTCGAAACCCTTTTATGTTAAAATATTTCGTGATGATAAAGAATGAGTCAAATCTTGATCGTCTGAATAAAGAATTCTAATTGGTTAAATAAGTTTTCTTTAGGGGTATACATGATTATTTGACCAATAAAATCAAACAAATTCGACGAAAATCTAATATAAAGACTATATTTCACTTATTAAGTAAAGTTTGTTTTATATATAATAGGCTTTTCATAATAACTTTTGGCGCAGAAAATTTTCTGCGCCAAAATATAACATAACGTAAATTTTCTGCGCATTGCCTATGGGCGTTAATTTTTTGAACTGCGTATTACGGCATTAATAAATTAAAATATACACGTAACGTGATACGTATTATGCGCGACGCGCATAGGCATATTTCGAATTTCGAAAACGCCTATATTATTTCTAGGTACGGTAATGAAAAAGGTAGTTTTGAAGTAAAAAGCGGTATTTCAATCACTTTATTAGTGAATGAGATTCGATTTATTTAGTACAAAATTCAGGTTTGAATAAACGGTTATGAGATACAGTAGAGAACTAATCTTAATTTATATATCAATATCTTCGATTTTGCATTCGTCTCCATTAAATTAAGAATTGTAGTCCTCTAACGCTAAGTGATCGCAATCGATAATTATATAAACAGTTTGTTTTTACAATTAGAAGAGTTAAGACCTGTATTTAATTTTAATTAGTATATACTGTACTTATAGAATGAAAAGATTTTTTATGGATTTTTATTAGTAAGAATTGTTAGCTTTGCTATTTTACATAAACATTATAATTTATAGTTTTGATGATATTATTAAGACGGGTTGATTACAAATTTGTTTAATGTTCCCCCCCTCTACCTTCACTTTTACTCTTACCTTCACCTCCAAGGACTCCTTCTGAAATTAAACCGAATATTTATGATGTCGAGATTTTTTAACTAAGAAATTCACGTGAACAAGACCGAAATTATCAATCGGCGTATCAGCCAATCAAATCAAACTTGACCTGTTAGTCCAATATATAAGCCACATTTTTAACTGTTAACTACTCAACATCGTTAAAAAATGCTTTCATCTACCAACGTGGTACGGTTTTCCTCAGAATTTCGTCTTTTATCAAAGTTTCAGAGGCTTCATCCTTCTCTAGAAGTTTCGCCTTTTATCGGAAGTTTCGTCTTTTGCCGGAGGCTTCGTCTTTCACCAGGAGCTTCGCCTTTTGCCAGAAATTACACTCTTCGCCGGGGTTATCCAGATTCGCCAAGTGGTAGTACCGAGAATTATCCTAGAATACAGAGACAACGTCCAGGCGACTGGATATGTAAAAGTTGTGGTATCAATAATTTTGCATATCGAACAGAATGTTTCGAATGTGGTGAGAAAGTTCAAAACCGAGAAGTAGCTCCTGGTGATTGGATTTGTCCGAAATGTGAATTTTATAACTTTCAAAGTCGGTTGGCTTGTTTCAAATGTCATACGCCGGCTCCAAACTTTGAACAAAATCCTAATAAGGATCATCAAGAAAATTGATATTTTGCTTAATGATGAGTTTGTTTCAATAAAACTATAAATGTCGAAAAAAATATATGATTTTAAAGATAATGCAAAAAACTTTCTAAAAGTATTAAAAGTATTGATTTTTTTGGGTTAAAATATAATAACAAAGCTTATTATTAATAAAAAAACATATATACTTTTGCTATATAATAGAACATTAATAATAAAGTATGTCAAATTATTTTCTATAACAATAATAAAGTGCGTAAAATTATATTTTTATTTCTTTTATTGTTTGTCTTCGGCAGGTTTAAATTGAACCTGCCGAACAAACCATAATTCTCACTCTTACTGCATTTATATACTTCCAGATTGAAATAGGTTTCTTGTAGCATTATTTTAATTTAATACTGTATCGTGTATCTAACGTCAATGTTTAGCTGCTAATAATATTAAAAATTAAGTCTGTCTGTGATCTACAAATCGATCTTTTTTTGCCTGGCACGTGAGATAATTCTTTAATTACAAAGACAAACTTGGCGATTACAACTTGATCCTAAAGATGGCACAACCGTAAGTTTATTCAGAATTTCAATATTTTTATTCTACCCTTATCGGAATAAACTTAAATTACTTTTCTAGATCTTTTAATTTCACACCTTCAGGAGGAGGTTTTGGTCTTGGAAATACAACTAGTGCCAGTGGCAGCTTATTCCCTGGTTTTGGAACTTCTCAACCTTCAGGAGGAGGTTTTGGTCTTGGAAATACAACTA